TAGTGTGTTGTGTGTGTGTGTGTGATTGAAAGCATTTGTGATTCTGATTGGTTGTGCTATGTCGCGCTACCTAACGTAACCTAACTTAACCTAACCTAACCTAACGTGGCTTCTGAGTAGCGTTGAGCACCACAGGAATTTGGAGTTCGGCATAATTTGAACCCATTAGGATTAGAACCCATTAGGATTAGAACCCATTAGGATTAACACCAATTAAGAGCGACAACAATTAAGATTTACACCCATTAAGATTGGCGTCTACTAGAGGTGCTACCATTACCTACCATTGACTTACAAGACTCCCAGAAATAGTAAAGACTTCCCTCTTATCCCCCCTTCTGTCCCCGTCCACCCCTCACCATCCCCCTTCTCCCTCACCATTCCTTCACCCCTCACCACCATCCCCTTCCACCCCTCACATCCTCCTCTCCCCCCACCATCCTTTCCACCTCACCACCATCCCCTTTCCACCCCTCACCATCCCCCTTCCACCCATCACCATCCTCCCCTCCTCACCATCCTTTCACCCCTCACCATCCCCTTTCTCCCCTCACCATCCCCCTTTCTCCCCTCACCATCCCCTTCCTCCCTCACCATCCCTTTCCCCTCACACCACCCCCCTTCACCCCTCACCACCATCCCCTTTCTCCCCTCACCATCCCCACCTCACCATCCTCCTTCCACCCCTCACCATCCTCCTTCCCCATCCCATCCCTTTCCACCTCACCATCCCCTTCCACCTCACCATCCCCCTTTCTCCCCTCACCATCCCCTCACCCCCTCACCCCTTCCCCCTCACCCATCCTCCTTCCTTCCCATCACCATCCTTTCCACCCCTCCATCCCCCTTCCACCCCTCACCATCCCCTTACTCCTTCACCATCCTCCCTCCTCCCCCACCATCCCTTTCACCCCTCCCCCCACCCCCCTTCTCCTCACCATCTCCTCCCCTCACCATCCCCCTTCCTCCCCTCACCATCCCTCTTCACCCCTCACCATCCCCTTCTACCCTCACCATCCTCCTTCCTCCTTTCCCCCTCACCACCCCCTTCCCCCTCACCATCCCCTTCTACCCCTCACCATCCCCTTCCTCCCCTTTCCCCCTAACCATCCTTCCTCCCCTCCCATCCCTCTTCACCTCACCATCCCCTTCTACCCCTCACCATCCTCCTTCCTCCCCTTTCCACCCCCCACCCTTTCCCCCTCACCATCCCTTCTACCCCTCCATCCTCCTTCCTCCCCTTTCACCCCTCACCATCCCTTCCACCCCTCACCATTCCCTTCCCTCACCCTCACCATCCCTCTTCTCCCCTCACCACCCCTTTACCCCTCACCATCCTCCTTCCTCCCCTTTCACCCCTCACCACCCCCTTCCACCCCTCACCATCCCCTTCTACCCTCACCATCCCCTTCACCCCTCACCATCCCCTTCCTCCCCACCATCCCTCTTCTACCCCTCACCATCCCCCCTTCTACCCTCTCCATCCTCCTTCATCCTTTCACCCCTCACCATCCCCTTCCCCCTCACCATTCCCTTCCACCCCTCACCATCCTCCTTCCTCCCATCCTCCTTCCACCCCTCACCATCCCCCTCCCACCCCTCACCATCCTCCTTTCCACCCCCTCACCATCCTCCTTCCACCCCTCACCATCCTTTCCACCCCTCACCATCCTCCCCTCCCCCCACCATCCCCTCCCACCCCTCATCCCCTCCCACCCCTCACACCCCTCCTTCCACCCCTCACCATCCTCCTTCCCACCCCTCACCATCCTCCTTCCACCCCTCACCATCCCCCTCCCAACCCTCACCATCCTCCTTCCCTCTCACCATCCTCCTTCCCCATCCCTCCACCCCCACCACCCCTCCCACCCCTCACCATCCCCTCCCACCCCTCACCATCCCTCCCTCACCATCCTCCTTCCACCCCTCCCACACCCCTCCCACCCTCACCATCCCCTCCCCTTCCCTCCCATCTCCTTCCACCCCTCCCACCACCCCTTTACCCCCTCACCATCCCCCCACCCCCTCACCATCCTCCTTCCACCTCACCATCTCCTTCCTCCCCTCACCATCCCCTTCCTACCCCTCACCATCCCCTTCTACCCCTCCCCATCCTCCTTCATCCCCTTCCCCCTCACCATCCCCTTCTACCCCTCACTTCCACCCCTCACCATCCTCCTTCACCCTCACCATCCCCTTTCCCCCTCATCCCTCTACACCCCTCACCCTCCCCCTTCACCCTCTCTCCCCCCCCCTCCACCATCCTCCTTCACCCTCACCCCCTTCACACCCCTCTTCTATCCCCTTCCACCCTCACCATCCCCCTTCCACCCCTCACCATCCCTCCTTCACCCCTCCCATCCCCTTCCACCCCTCCCATCCTCCCTTCCACCCTCCACCTTCCCTCATCATCCTCCTTCCACCCTCACCACCTTCCACCCTCACCATCCCCTTCCACCCTCACCATCCTTCCCCCCTCACCACCCCCTTCCACCCCACCACCCCTTCCACCCCTCACCATCCCCCTTCCCCATCCCACCCCTCACCACCCCTTCACCCCTCACCACCCCCCTTCCACCCCTCACCATCCCCTTCCACCCCTCACCATCCCCTTCCACCCTCATCTCCCCTTCCACCCCTCCCTTTCCACCCTCACCATCCCCACCCCTCTCCCCTTCCCCATCCTCCCTCCTTCCACCCTCACCACCCCCTTCACCCCTCACCATCCCCCTTCACCCCTCACCACCCCCTTCTCCTCTCCCCATCCTCACCTCCCATCCCCTTCCACCTCACATCCCTTCTTCCCTTCACCCCTTCACACCCCTCTCACCATCCCCCTTCACCCCTCACATCCCCCTTCCACCCTCACCACCCCTTCACCCCCTCTTCCCTTCACCCCTCACCATCCCCTTCCACCTCTCCCACCACCCCCTTCCTCCCTCACCATCCCCTTCACTCCCTCCTCCCCCCCACCCCTCTACCTCCACCCCACCCTTCCACCCCTCACCACCCCCTTCCTCCCCTCCATCCCCTTCCACCCCTCACCCCATCCCCTTCCACCTCTCACCACCCTCCTTCCTCCCCTCTATCCCCCTTCACTCCCCCTCATCCTCCCCCCCCACCCTCACCACCCCTTCCACCTCACCATCCCCCTTCACCCTCACCCACCCCTTCCTCCCTCACCATCCCCCCTTCCACCCCTCACCATCCCCCACCCCACCCTCTCCCCCCTTCCTCCCTCTTCCCCCCTCACCATCCCCCTTCCACCCCTCCACCTCCTCCCCACCCTCCTCCTTCCTCCCCCTCCCCACCCTCACCACCCTTCCACCCCTCACCATCCCCTTCCACCCACCCACCCCTTCCCTCCCCTCCTTCCCCTTCACCCCCACCATCCCTCCCCTCTACCCCTTCCTCCCTCACCATCCCCCTTCCTCCCCTCATCCCCCTTACCCCTCACCCCTTCCACCCCCTCCCATCCCCCCACCACCCCCCCTTCTCCCCTCCTGTCCCCCTTCCACCCCACCATCCCCCTTCCACCTCTCACCACCCCCTTCCTCCCTCACCATCCCCCTTCCTCCCCTCCACCACCCTTCCCACCCTACCACCCCCTTCACCCTCACCATCCCCTACTTATTCTGAGACATGACCATTAAGGCAGTGTCCCCCCTCTCACGCTGACGACACTACGTTTTCTTACGTCGTCCAAATTAAAAACAGTTTATTTACCTTGTTCGTACACTGTGGTTAAGTGTCTCTGTGATTTATATCACAAACCAACACCTTTCTTACTTAATCACTTGTATATTTCCTTGTTAATCACTTGTAACAATCCATCATTAAGCTCTTGTAAAGATTTTCCTTGTTTATCATTTGTAAATATTTTTCAATAAGTTTCTTTTCTATTAAAGCCTAAATTTGTGCTCGTTAGCACTTGTAAACTTGGTGATTGAACACAGAGAGATATCAACAACCTCCACCTCACCCTCACCACCCTCCTTCACCTCACCTCCCTTCCTCACTCACCCCTCCATCCCTCACCCCTCACTTCCCCTCACCCCTCCCTTCCTCACCCCTCCCTTCCTTTCCTCACCCCCTCCCTTCCCTCACCCCTCCTACCACCCCCCTCCCTTCCTCCTTCCTCCCCCCCTCCCTTCCTCACCCTCCCTCCCTCACCCCCTCCCTCACCCTCCCTCCCCCCCCCCTCCCTCCCCCTCACCCTCCCTCCCCCTCCCCACCCTCCACCCCTCCCTCACCCTCCCCTCCCCCTCCCTCACCCCTCTCTCCCTCACCCCTCCCCCCTCACCCCTCCCCTCCCCTCCCTCACCCCCCCCCTTCCCCTCACCCCTCCCTCACCCTCCCCTACCCCCTACTCCCTCACCTCCTCACCCTCCCTCACCCCTCCTCACCCCCTCCCTCACCCTCCCTCACCTCCTTCCCTCACCCCCTCCCTTCCCTCCCCCTCCCTTCCCTCACCCCTCCCTTCCCACACCCTCCCTCCCCCTCACCCCCTCCCTTCCCACCCCTCCCTCACCCTCCCTCACCCCCTCCTTCCCTCCCCCTCCCCTCACCCCCCCTCCCTCACCCTACCCCTCCCCTCCCTCCCCACCCCCCCTCCCTCCCTCCCCCTCCTTCCCTCCACCCCCCTCCCTTCCTCACCCCCTCCCTTCCCTCACCCCTCCCCCCTCACCTCCCTTTCCTCACCCCCTCCCTTCCTCACCCTCTCCCTTCCCTCACCCCTCCTCACCTCCTCCCTTCCCTCACCCCTCCTCACCCTCCCTCACCCCCCCTCTCCCCTTCCCTCACACCCCTCCCTTCCTCACCCCCTCCCTCACCATCCCTCACCCCTCCCTTCCCCTCACCCCTCCATTCCCTCACCCCCCCATCTCTCTTTTCATTACTCATGTGGAAATTCTTTTAGGCAATTCTTCTCCAAACTGTGTAGTAATGAGGAGAGAGAGAGATGAACTTTTAATAACCTGTTGTAATTCTTATCTCGTCAGGTCCTATCGGTTCCAGCCATCCCCCGACTCCTGACGAGCCCCCTGAAGGTGTTGTAGTACCTGACGTATCCACATAGTTATACCCACTATTGTACCCACATTTGTACCCACATATTGTACACCCCATGTACCCACTATATTGTACCCACATATTGTACCACTATTGTGCCCATACTATTGTACATATTGTACACCCCACTATTGTACCCATGCTATTATACCCACTATTGTACCCACATTGTACACACACTGTGTACCCACACAGTTGTACCCACACCCTCACACAGTTGTACCCACACCTCACACAGTGTACCCACACGGTTTGCCTCACAACAGGTGATGTAATACGTATCATTGTTTAGCGTCTGTGAGTTATTTTTTGAGATATATGAAAAAATGAATCACTCTTTAACCTCTTAGTATGATAACAACCTCTTGAGTACTAACTTAACCTCTTGAGTAACCTCTTGAGTATGATAACTTAACCCTGAGTATGATAACTTAACCTCTGAGTATGATAACTTAACTCTTTGAGTGGCGATAACTTAACCTCTTGAGTATGATAATCTTAACCTCTTGGAGTATGATAACTTAACCTCTTGAGTATGATAACTTAACCTCTTGGAGTATGATAACTTAACTCTTTGAGTATGATAACTTAACCTCTTGGAGTACTATAAATTAACCTCTTGGAGTATGATAACTTAACCTTTGAGTATATAACTTAACCTCTTGAGTACTATAACTTAACCTCCTTGAGTATGATAACTTAACCTCTTGAGTATGTATAACTTAACCTCTTGGAGTATGATAACTTAACCTCTTGAGTACTATATAACTTAACCTCTTGAGTACTATAACTTAACCTCTTGGAGTATGATAACTTAACCTCTTGAGTACTATAACTTAACCTCTTTGAGTAAGATAACTTAACCTCTTCTTCAGTACTATAACTTAACCTCTGAGTGTGATAACTTAACCTCTTGGAGTACTATAACTTAACCTCTTATATGATAATCCTAACCTCTTGAGTAAGATAACTTAACTTTGAGTATGATAACTTAACCTCTTGAGTACTATAACTTAACCCCTGGAGTACTATATAACTTAACCTCTTGAGTACTATAACTTAACCTCTTGAGTATGATAACTTAACTCTTGAGTATGATAACTTAACCTCTTGAGTATGATAACTTAACCCTTGAGTAATGATAACTTAACCTCTTGAGTACTATAACTTAACCTCTCTGAGTACTATAACTTAACCTCTTGAGTATGATAACTTAACCTCTTGAGTACTATAACTTAACCTCTTGAGTATGATAACTTAACCTCTTGAGTATGATAACTTAACCCTTGAGTATGATAACTTAACCTCTTGAGTACTATAACTTAAACTTCGAGTATGATAACTTAACCTCTTGAGTACACTATAACTTAAACCTCTTGGAGTATGATAACTTAACCTCTTGAGTACTATAACTTAACCTCTCTGAGTATGATAACTTAACCTCTTGAGTACTATATAACTTAACCTCTTGAGTATGATAACTAACCTCTGAGTATGATAACTTAACCTCTTGAGTATGATAACTTAACCTCTTGAGTATGATAACTTAACCTCTTGGAGTACTATAACTTAACCTCTTGAGTACTATTATAACTTAACCTCTTGAGTACTATAACTTAACCTCTTGAGAGTATGATAACTCTAACCTCTTGAGTATGATAACTTAACCTCTTGGAGTATGATAACTTAACCTCTTGAGTATGATAACTTAACCTCTTGAGTACTATAACTTAACCTCTTTGAGTACTATAACTTAACCTCTTGAGTATGATAACTTAACCTCTTGAGTAATTATAACTTAACCTCTTGAGTATGATAACTTAACCTCTTGAGTACTATAACTTAACCTCTTGATATGATAACTTAACCTCTTGAGTACTATAACTTAACCTCTTGAGTATGATAACTTAACCTCTTGAGTATGATAACTTCAACCTCTGAGTATGATAACTTAACCTCTTGAGTATGATAACTTAACCTCTGGAGTATGATAACTTAACCTCTGAGTACTATAACTTAACCTCTTGAGTATGATAACTTAACTTCTTGAGTATGATAACTTAACCTCTTGAGTATGATAACTTAACCTCTTGGAGTATGATAACTTAACCTCTGAGTATGATAACTTAACCTCTTGAGTACTATAACTTAACCCTCTTGAGTACTATAACTTAACCTCTTGGAGTATGGTAACTTAACTTGAGGACTATAACTTAACCTCTGGAGGACTATAACTAACCTCTTGAGTACTATAACTTAACCTCTTGAGACTATAACTTAACCTCTTGAGTACTATAACCAACCTCTGAGTATGATGTAATCTAACCTCTTGAGTACTATAACTTAACCCTGGAGTACTATAACTTAACCCTCTTGAGTATGATAATTTAACCTCTTGAGTATGATAACTTAACCTCTTGGAGTACTATAACTTAACCTTCCTCTTGAGGACTATAACTTAACCTCTTGAGTACTATAACCCTAACCTCTTGGAGTGTTATTAACTTCAAATCTCTTGAGTATGATAACTTAACCCTCTTGGAGTACTATAATCCCAACCTGCTGAGTATGATAACTTAACCCTGAGAGATACCGAATCCCTGAGTACTCATAATCCTAACCTCTTGAGTATGATAACTTAACCTCTTGAGTATGATAACTTAACCTCTTGAGTATTATAACTTAACCTCTTGAGTATTATAACTTAACCTCTTGAGTATGATAACTTAACCTCTTGAGTACTATAACTTAACCTCTTGAGTACTATAACTTAACCTCTTGAGTATGATAACTTAACCTCTTGAGTACTATAACTTAACCTCTTGAGTACTATAACTTAACCTCTTGAGTACTATAACTTAACCTCTGAGCAATGACACCATTTGCATATGAGACACCTAAAAATTGAGACACTGTAATATGAATGTAAAAATAAACCTAGAATCACTTTTAGCTGAGAATCACATTTGGTAGACGTGAAGGAACAGAGAAGAGGAACAGGAACAGATCAAGTTGGTCTGAAAGTTAATTATCCTGAACCCAATTGACCAAAAAACTTGATTATCCAAGATTGAGATAACCAGATTTGTTAGGTGAGAAGCGGGTAAAGTGGGGGTGGGTGGTGAGGGAGGGAGGGGTGTGGGTGGTGAAGGGAGGTGGGTGGTGAGGGAGGTGGGTGGTGAGGGGAGATAGTGGTAAGGGAGGGTAGGGGTGAGGGGGTTAGTGGTAAGGGAGGGTAGGGGTGAGGGGGTTGGTGGTGAGGGAGTTTGGTGGTGAGGGTGGATAATGGTAATAGATGGTGGTGGTAGTGAGGGAGGGTGGTGAATAGTGATGAGGAGATAGGGTGGTGGTAGTAGTGGTGGTGGTGAGGGAGAGTGAGGAAGATGTTGGAGACTGGTGGAGATATGCGGGAGGATAAGGGGATCAGTTGGGAAGAAGTGGATAAGACTCAATAATTCCGTATAAATAAATAACAAACAAATGAATAAATTAATTAAAAAAAGACCAATTTTAAGACTCCATTATTCAGTGTTATTGGCTGTAAACTCGACCTGTCACGACTCTTGTCAAAATATAGTTGATTTCTCCTCTAACTAATATTAACTCATGACCATTTTTATACAACACGAGTCATTCATTTAGATATATTAACACAGACATATATATCATCAATAACCATTAATAGTTTTGGGTTATCTTACATGATATTCCTTCAGTAATTACGTAAATTTTGATATCTTGTTATTGTTGTTATTTTCCTTATTGAGAAAACCAATTTGGTTTGTTTTTTGCTGATGTCACAAATTGTTATGTTGTCATTGGTGTGAGTTTACGTTGGTTATCTCACATTGGTTACGTTGGTTATCTCACATTGGTTACGTTGGTTATCTCACATTGGTTAGTTATTTTAACCTGGGTTTTGAGATTGTGTGTGTGTGTGTGTGTGTGTGTGTGTGTGTGTGTGTGGCAGTAACGATAAGACCCCCTCCCTTCCCCAAGGGCGTATCCAGAGGGGGGTCCTGGTGGTTCGCCCCCCCCCCCTTTTCACCAGAAAATTCCAATACTTTTCTTTAATGCAGTATGGTACTCAGGCGTTTTTGTATCGCAAAAAGTATTTACTATTGACTTAAGAATATCTCCTCATATCACGTGTGCAAAATGGCCTCAAGAAGCCCGTGATATTGGTTAAATTAAAACAAAAAATATGGGGGGGCTTACAGCGCCCCCCAACACCCCCCATCTAGGTGGACTCGCTGTGCTCACATGTTCCCCTACCCACAACTTCTTAGAACCCCCTCCCCCCTTCTGATATTCCTGGATCCGGCCCCGTCCCCTCTTCTCTCCTCCTCTACCAAACCTTACACAACAATGTTCTCTCTACGGTCTCAGTCACATAAAACAGATATCTTAAGCTGCCTCATTGACTCTTAAGTAATACAGGTAATGTACATGTTTACTCTGGCTATAAATAATATATAACCCATCTACGTAAATACACCTGTGTTGACTCCTGAGAAGGCAGCAAGCTTTCAATTAGGTCAGGTAAATAGTGGATTTTTTGTGTGTCTGAAGAGCCGACGAGTTAGGCCTTTACCGCAGGATTATTTTATTTGACTGCGCATGCGTAAAGAATCTCTGGTGTTGCTGCTTACGTAACGGGGAGCAGCCGTGTATCCTGTGTTGTGTTCGTAAAGTAAGTCTTTGTGTTCGTTAGGTTGACAGATTGGCATCATGACCTCTTGAGTACGATGTTGTCGAGCCTCTTGAGTACCCAATTTAGCTCCCTATTGAGTATACGATTAGTAATCTGTTCGAGTATGATGACATTATACTCAGGGGGTTAAGTCATCGTACTCAGGGAGGAGTGTTGTACTCAAGGGGGCATTGTACGCAGAGGGGGCATTGTACTCAGACGGGGCATGGTACTCAAGGTGGTGGCATGGTACTCAGAGAAGGCAGCATTGTACTCAAGGGGTGGTGTGG